GGTACCGGAGAAAAAAAAAAAAAAAAAAAAAAAAAAAAGGATCTGCTACATTATCATTTCAGACATTATTATGATATATAAAATGTTATTAAAGCTACATACAAAAAAAACTTATTGTGCTGCTATTCAAGGAAAAAAGGGTGTCACAAATTTCCTACATTTTTGTCCTACAGTTGTGCTGATCTCAAATGTATCTGGCACCTTCTATATGTCAGACAATGTGGTGCTTTATGTTTTTTAATTTAAATGTTATGTAACTATATAAGAGGTATTATTTGATGACCAGTTTATACGTTTTGTGGATTCATGGGCGGTAACTCTTTGCTCAAGAGTACATAGCACACACACCTCTTCCAGAGCCAGGATTTGACTCTAAAGATGACAATTTTTGAAATTGCATAAAGTGTAAAATCAGATATTAACTGCGGTATTTAATTAAATGCTTGCCTAGCATGTGTAATTTGATACTTACAAAAAATGTAATGATATATTTTTTGTTTTTATTTTTTTTCCTTTTTGAGACAGAGTTTTACCATGCAATTCAGGCTGGTATTGAACTCAGTTTGTAGCCCAGGTAGTCCTCAGACTCTTGACAGTCCTCCTGCCTCAGCCTTCTGAGTGCTGGGATTACAGGCATGTGCCACCACACCCGACCTCAAAATTTATTATTTAAAAATTTCTTAAGTCTGAGGGCTGGCTTTGTATCTCAATGGTAGAGTGCTTGCCTAGCATGTGTAAGGCCCTGGGATTGAGCCTTGGCACTGAGGGGGAGAAGTTTCTCACATTTGGACATTTAGGAAAGGTCTTTCTGAAAACATTAGGTTTACTTGTGAGATAAAAACTAAAATTTCATTATATCTCTTTTTCTTAATTTTAATAAGACTTAGACTATTGAGGTTTATGTGCAGCCGCAGTCAAGCTTCTAGCCACAAGTCAAGAGCTTGATACTCATCTACCAAAGAGAGCAGGCATTTGTTCATAGCTGCTAATAAAAGGGACTTTCAAAGAGGGAAACTCCCACAGATGCCTAGAGAAGGAACTCTGTGAGAGTATAATATGTAGAGGGCTGGCATGGGAGAAAGTTATCATTTCACCTAGCATGAAGAACTCTAATAAGACTCTGATTTGTGAGGGGGGAAAAGAGACTGTGAAAGTATTCTCTCATATTTTTCCCTCGTAGGTGTTTCTTTTTGGTGGCCTAAAAGAAGGTACAGTGGATATGAGGGGAAAATAATTTTCCCAAGAAGGCCTAAATAAAATGTGTATACTTTGTTTTGTTTTGTTTTGGAACTGGGAATGGAATGCAGGACCTCGTGCTTGCCAGGCAGGCATTGTGCTGCTGAGCTGTATCCCCAGCCCAGTGTTTATACTTTGAAAACCTTCATGTAAAATTTTATATAGTACTTTGAAATATATCCGTAATCTTTTTTGCTTAACAGGTGTGCAAAACTCATTCTGGTATACTCGGAAAGGGTTTAGCTCTTTCTCATTCACCTACTATATTAGAGGCACTTGAAGGAAACTTACCACTTCAAATCCAAAGCAATGAGCAGTCCTTTCTGGATGATTTTATTGCTTGTGTCCCTGGTTCAAGTGGCGGAAGGCTTGCAAGGTATGCCTTGTACCTTAAGTACTACAGTTACTTTCTCTTAGGGCTACATGGTTAAGGAGAAATGGAGAGAAGAGTTCTCAGATGTTAAAATTGTTACCTAAAATAATCTGTTTTACGTTTTGAACTTGCTGAAGTATAAAATGGTAATATTTTAAAATTACAGAAATTACTGGTTAGTTTTTAAAAGCCAAAATAATGAATGAATAAGAATAGAAACTTAAGTTAGCTTTGCTGCTGTCTTTGTAGATATTTTTATGTAATGCTTGATAAAATTACTTACTGCTCTTTCTCACAGAACAATTTGAATATAAATCATGAAGTACTACTTTCATGTTAATCAGTGAAGATATTGATTAATGTTTGCTTTTTGTTTGTTTTCATTGCTTTTAGGTGGCTTCAGCCAGATTCCTATGCTGATCCTCAGAAAACATCGTTGATCCTGAATAAAGATGATATTCGTTGTGGTTGGCCTACCACCATAACTGTTCAAACAAAAGACCAGTATGGAGATGTGGTACATGTTCCTAATATGAAGGTAATTCTGAGTTTAAATGACATATGTATGCACTGACCACTGTAACTGATAAAATTTTAGAAATCACAAGTGCTTAGAGTCCATTTGCTCTAGCTTCTTTGTCTATATGTAATATAGGACAATGAAAAATTGTTTAAATGATTTCTTTGTATTAATTAGTTCCCAGGTTTCTAAGCTATATACTAGAAACCTAGAAACTGTGGTGACTCAAAGGATAAGAAAGTACAGTATAAAGAGTGCTAGGCAAAAGCTTTTAATATATAAAGATTGAAAGATGCATGAAAAAATACATTTTTAAATGATATGTATATTTTTAAAGAGAAGTACAGAGATGCTGAGCATCTTTTCATGTATTCATTGGCCATTCAGATTTGTTCTTTGGAGAACTATCTTCACTTCCGTTGCACATTTTTAACTGGGTCTTTTGTTTTTTGCATTCTGAATATTTTGAGCTCATTATATGTTCTAAATAGGCATCTCCTATCGGAGGAATAGATACAAAAGGTTTTCCCGTTCTTTAGGTTGTCTCTTCACTGTGCAGAAGCATTCCCACTTAATCTACGAATTCTTAGAATTGTTTCCTGTGTAATTAGGGTTATGTTCAGGAAGTTCATGCTTATGCTTGTATCTTCAAATGATATGGCTATTTTATCTTCCAGTAAATTTAACATACATATATATATATGTATTTGATCCACTTTTATTTGATTTTAGTACAAGGTGAGAGATAAGAGTCTAGATTGATTCTTTTGACTGTGGATAATCGGTTTTCCCACCACAATTTGTTAAAGAGGTTATCTTTTCTCCAGTGTTTGTTACTAGCTTCCTTGTCAAAGATTGGCTGTCTAAAGGTGCATGGGATTGTTTGTGTCTTCTATTCTGTTCCATTGGTTTACAGGTTTATTTTTGTGCCAGTACCATGTTGTTTTTGTAGTTCTTTTTTTTACTGCAGCTTTGTAATATAACGTGAAATCTGGCAGGATTGCTTTGGTTATTCTGGATTTCTTTTGGTTCGTATAAATTTTGCATGGTTTTTGTAGTTCTGTGAAGAATACTATTGATACTTTGATTGGAATCACGTTAAATCTGTACAGTTTTTTATAATATGGCTATTTTAACAATATTTTGCCACAACAAGGGATTATGTTCCATTTTCTAATGTCCTCTTCAATCTCTTTATTCAGAGTACTATAGTCTTCATTACAGAGATCATGAATGGGATTGTTTTCATGGTTTTTTTCCCCCAGTTGGTGTGCTATTGATTTTTGTATGTTGATTTTTTTATTCTGCCTCATTGCTGAATTTATTAGTTTTAAGAGAATGCTGGTAGATTTTTTTGAGTTTTCTGTTTAAAGGAACATATCATCTGCAAATAAGGTAGCTTGACTTTTTCCTTTCGTATTTATATCCCTTTTCTTTCTTTCTCTTTCCTGATTTTTCTTGCTAAAGTTTTTAGAACTGTGTTGAACAGGAGTGGTGAGAATAGACATTCTTGTCTTGTTCCTGGTTTTAGTAGGAATGCTTTCAGTTTTTCTCCATTTGATGAGATGTTGGCTGTGGTTTTTCGTAAGTGGCTTTTATCAGTTTGAGGTAAGGTCCTTCTATATCTATTTTCAAATATCTTACCATGAATGAATATTAGATTTTGTCAAAGTTTTTTTTCCTGCATTTATTGGTGGTTTTTTTTTTCTTTATCCTTTTGCTTAAATGGTGTATTACATTTATTGTTTTACATATGTTGTACCATCCTTACTTCCTTGGAATGAAGCCCCCTTGGTTATGACACATGATGTTTTCAATAATTTCTTGCATTTTGTTTGCAGATCTCTTAAGGGCATTTTTTGGTATCTATTAAGGATATTAGCCTGTAGTTTTTTCTTTTTTTGTTGAGTCCTTCTCCAGTTTGGTATCAGGTTAATAGTGGCTTCAGTAAATGGGTTTGACAGTGTTTTTCCCTTTCAGTAAGAGTTTGAGAAGTATTGTTAATTCTTCTCTTGAGTTCTGGTAAAATTCAGTGATGAATCTACTGAGTGCTGGGCTTTTCTTATCAGAATTTTTATCACTACTTTGCTTTCATTGCTTGTAATTGGTGTATTTAGGATTTCTATAGCTTTTTAAATCTATTTTGTAAGTCACATACATATATCTAGGAATTTACCCCTTTCTTCTAGAGTTTCCAGCTTACTAGAATATACCTTTTTAAAATAATGTCCTATAATCTTCTGGATCTCAGTGGTGTCTGTTGTGATTTTTCCTCTTTCATTTCTCATCGCACTGTTTTTTTGGTGTGGGGTAAGTTTGGCTAAGGGCTTACTTATATATATAATTTATCCTTTCAAAGAACCAACTCTGATTCATTGATCTTTTGTTTTTTCAGCCTCAATTTCATTGATTTCTATTCTGATCTTCGTAATTTTTTTCAAGAAACTATTTGGGTTCCTCTTCTTTTTTTTCTAGGACATTGAGATGCATTATTAAGTTATTGGGTAATGCTCTATTTTTCTAGTGTAGACACAGCTATAGAACTGCTTTTAGATTTTCGTATATTGCACTGCTACTGTCATTTAATTCTGGGAACTTTTTAATTTCTTCCTCAATTTCTTCTGTGATCCATCAATTGTTCAGAAATCTGTTAATCTGTCTGTGTTTTCATAGTTTCTGTGGTTTGGTTTGGTTTTGTGGGTTTTTTTGCAGTTGATTTCTAGTTTTATCCTGGTGTAATCTGATAAAATGCAAGTGATTATTTCAGTTCTTCTGTATTTGTTCTTCCACCTGTTTTTATGACCTAAGATATGGTCTATTTTGGATAAAGTTCCGTTGGTTACTAAGAAGAATGTGTATTCTGCTGTTGTTGGATGAAGCACTCTGTAGATATGTTAGGTCTGTTTGTTCAATAGTATTTAACTAACATTTTTTGCTGAGTTATTGCTTCATTCACCTTTCGGGGGTTGAGGTCTCCCATTATGATTGTATTGGTATCTGTTTGTCCTTGTATGTCATGAAGTTTTTGTTTTATGAAATTGGGTATGCTGATGTTTGGTTTCATACACATTTACAATTATTATCTCTTATTATTGAGTTCTTCCCTTACCCAATATATAGTGGCTTTGTTTGTCTCTTCTGATCAGTTTTGGCTTGAATTCTACTTTATCTGAAATTAGGATGGCTATTCTTACTTGCTTTCAGGTGCAGGTTTCAGGTGCAGGTTTCATGGAGTATCATTTTCCATCCTTCCTTTTTCAAAGGATGTTTTATTAGGTAAGATGTATCTTGTGTGGGCACCATATAGTTAGGTCTTGCTTTTCGATCCAATCTGCAAGTTTGTGTCTTTTTTTTTTTCCTTTTATATTAAAATAACTTTAATAGAAAGATTATAGAACAGTACAGTGGTTTGGTGGTCATGAATTTTAGATTCTCTTCGTTATGGAAGGTTTTTAATTCTCCGTCAAATTTGAAGGGTAATTTTGCTGGATATAATAATCCAGATTGGCAGTTGTTTTCTTCTAGGACTTCAAAAACTTTGCTTAAAGCTCTCCTGATATTTAATGTTTGTGTATCCCCTTTAGCAGCTTGTCCTAACCATAGTATCTTACATGCCTTTGGCACTATCATCAAAAACAGAAAATTAACTTGATAATATTCACAAATCTATAGGCCATACTTCAATTTCACCAGTTTTCCTATGGACGTCCCTTTTCTAATTGAGAATCCCTCACTGCAGTTAGATTTACATTGAGTGTAATTACTGACAAATATTTACTGATTCCTAGAATTATACTATTTTTTCCAGTGTTTATTCCTTTCAATTATTTCTTTGTTTAACTACTTTCTCAGTTAGATATATTCTTCCCTTTGGCCTTGTTGCTGATGTTGGCTTCAATCTCTCTGCTTAGAATTTTTTTGAATATTTTTTGCGATGCTGGTTTGGTGGTCGTGAATTTTAGATTCTCTTTGTTGTGGAAGGTTTTTATTTCTCCATCAAGTTTGAAAGATAATTTTGCTGGGTATAGTAATCTAGATCAGCAGTTGTTTTCTTCCAGGACTTCAAAAACTTTGCTCCAAGTTCTCCTGATATTTAAGGTTTGTGTTGAGAAATCTACTACTGTTCTGATAATCTTGCTTCTATAGATAGCTTGGTAGTTTTCTTTAATGGTTTTTAGTATTCTCTCTTTGTTCTGGATTTCTGGGATTCTGACTATGATATGCCCTGGAGAGGTTCTTTAGTGGCTATGTCTATTTGAGGTTATAAATGTCTCATTTATGTGGGTAACCATTTCAGATTCTAGGTTTGGAAAGCTGTCTGCAGTGATTTCTATGAATAAAATGTTTATGTTTTTATGTTTTCCTTGATATATATAATTCTTAGGTTCTTTTAGAGTCATCTAAGAGTCTTGAATCAATTTTTCCTGATTTCCTGGTTTTTGACTATCATTAACTAAGTAATCTACTACAGTGTTCTTGTTCTCTAAACCTAAAATTTTAGTATTTTCTTTGCAAAAAAAATCTTTTTACTCTTTTAGTTTCTCACACCAGGGAGACAATACGATATTTACACATGTGAGTCTCATTTACTTTACTTATGAGTATAGTTTCAAGTTGCATCCATTTACCTATAAAGTCTCCAGTTTATCCTTCTTTATGGTGAGTAGTACTCCATTGAATAAAAAAGACCACATCTGTTTTAATTCATTCCTCGGTTGATGGACATCTGGGTTATTTCCAAGATTTAACTATTACAAATTGTGCTGCTAAAAACATGGGTACGCATATGTCACTGTGGTTTGATGTTTTTAATTCTTCTGGAAAGACACCCCGAAGGGGATAGCTGGGTTGAATAGGACCTCTAACCCCAGTTTCTTGAGGAATATCCACACTGATTTTCTCAGTGGTTGTACCAGTCTACATTCCCCTCAACAGTGGAGAAGGGTTCCTTTTTCCCCCACAGCCCCTCCAGCATTTGTTATTGGTTGATTTTTTGATGATAGCCATTCTATCTGGGA